TGCCTGGGTGGCTCAGTTGGTTAAGCGACCGCCTTCAGCTCAGGTCATGATCCCAGGGTCCTGGGATCGAGCCCCGCATCGGACTCCCTGCTCGGCTAGAGGCCTGCTTCTCCCTTTCCCACTCCCCCTGCTTGTGTTCCCTCTCTCACTGTCTCTCTCTGTCAAATAAATAAATAAAACCTTTTAAAAAAGTTGCCTGGGTGGCTCAATCAGTTAGGCATCTGCCTTCGGCTCGGGTCGTGATCCGGGGTCCTAGGATCAAGCCCCGCATCGGGCCCTCTGCTCGGCAGGAAGCCTGCTTCTCCCTCTCCCACTCCCCTGCTGTGTTCCCTCTCTCGCTGTCTCTCTCTGTCAGGTAAATAAGTAGAATATTTTAAAAAAATAAAATAAAACCTTTAAAAATAAATAAATAAATAAATAGTTTGTCAGAGAGTGTGCGCATGCGCACAAGCGGGGGAGTGGCAGGCAAAGGGAGAAGCAGACTCCCCGCAGAGCAAGGAGCCCAATGTAGGGCTGTGGGGCTCGATCCTGGGATCATGACCTGAGCCGAAGACAGACGCTTAATGACTGAGCCACCCAGGCACCCCTCAAATAAATATTTAAAATAATAATAAATTTCCCTATCAAAAAAAAAGAAAAGAAAATTCCCTGCCACAAAGCCTCAGAGAAAAAAAGAACTGCATGCAGTCCTCTGATGCCTGGTGTTTATCCACACAATTGTCTAACAACAGACCATGCTTTGATGCTTCGTCTCGGTCTCAGATGATCTCTCGTGAATTCCAGCATGCACCATACCCTAGCACCATCTCTAGGAGCAAGTGGGCCACAGTCAGCGGCTACTCAAAGAGCAAAGAGTAGGAAATTACAAATTTCTTAAAGACTCAGAGACCCTCCACTCTGGTGTCTATTGCCCCTAATTCTTTTTTCTCTTATTCTTATAAATATGCCCCACAAGCAGTGCTATGGCAATCATGACAGCAACTACCTTTTAGGAACCAAATTTCCCACATAAGTGTTGTGGCTTCACTAAGAGATCGCAACCCAGTGATCCTTGGCAAATATCTTTACTTCCTAGGCCTTCAGTTTCCACCTTTGTGAAAATAAAAAGACTGGACTCCATGACACCTAGGATTCCCTCTGGCTCTGACAGTCTATAACCCCAAAGCTTGTATGTGCTTATGAAAATGAGAAACAAAAACAAAAACAAAAAAAAGAAAATGAGAGGCGTCCTGCTCAGCAGGGAGTCTGCTTCTCCCTCTGACCCTCTTCCCTCTCGTGCTTTCTATCTCTCATTCTCTCTCTCAAATAAATAAATAAAATCTTTAAAAAAAAAAAGAAAATGAGAAACAACACTTATTACAAATGTAACACCTGTTTGCAACAGATTCCAATAACACAGACTATAAAAAGTAATGGTTGGCAAACTTTTTCTGGAAAGGGCCACACAGTAAATATTTTTGGCTTTGCAAGCCATACCGTCTCTGTCACAACTACTCAGCTCTGTTGTTGGAGCGCAAAAGCAGCCAGACAATAACTAGACCAGTGAGTGTGGCTGCATTCCGATAAAACTTTATTTATAAAAATAGGGGCACCTGGGTGGCTGAGTTGGTTAAGTGACCAACTCTTGGTTTCGGCTCAGGTCATGATCTCAGGGTCATGAGATTGAGCCCCACATTGGAATCTACACTTAGCTCAGAGTCTGCTGGAGATTCTCTCTCCTTCTCCCTCTGCCCCTCCCCTCCCCCCGTGACTAAGTAAATAAATAAAATTAAAAAAAAAAAAAAAAGAAAGAAAAAAGGTCAGGGAAATGCAATCTGTGTGCCAGGGGGAAGAAGAATAGGTCACCCCATGAGCCATAGTTTACTGATCTCTGCTATGAAGTATAAAGCAAAAGCCACTCCTTACTGCAGGGCTCTCCTCCCAGGGTTACCCTTTTTAAGTCTGGCTGTGCTCTTTTACATTGCATTCTGTAAATTCACAACAGATCTGTGTATGTGGCTCTCATTTTCTTTATTTCTATTTATTTGAAAGAGAGAGAGAGGGAGAACAAGCACACGCAGGCCAAGAGAGGAAAAAGGAGAGAAGTAAATTCCGTGCTGAGCGTGGACCTCGATCCCAGGACCCTTAGATAATGACCTGAGCTGAGACCAAGAGTCAGACACTTAACCAACGGAGCCACCCAGGAGCCCCCTGTGGCTCTAATTTTCTAAGAATAAAGCGGGATTACTCTATGCATATTTTTAACAATTCTCTTTTGATGGACAATTCAAGTCTTTCACTCTCTAATTTTTCCAATTTTTCATTCTCCTAAGTACTAGTCTCATGAACTACTCTTACACGCAACTTTGGACTCTTTTTGGCCACCACAGCTGTAAGCCATGGTCAACTGTGACGCAATCTGACCCTGGATCAACCCAGTCATGACAGAGAAGAGCAATGCAAGAGACTGTGAACTAGGGAGTGGGCAGAATCAAGGACTGAGGAAGGGAAGGAAGGTACAGAGGGGAAGGGAGTAACAGGAGACAGTGAAGATGCAAATACCCAAGCCACCACTACCTTTTTCAAAAACGCTGCAGCTGTTTCTCTCTTTGTGGCTGTGATCCGCTTCACCCCATCTGGGGACTGGACACGAATTATCTGTCACAAATGAAACAAGGCGGTTACTGCACAGACTAGTATGTTCCTGATCTCTAACTGAGACTAACATCTGCAGTCTTTCAGCATCTGGGTCACCGAAACTTCGAGCCAAACCTCACCCTTCCCCGGGCAACACCCAAGTATTTCTAAAAGATGAAAAAGAGGTATGAGATTCACCAACCCATGCAAAGACATCTTGAGAGTCCCTCTCAACTCTGGTCATTTCACTCAGAAAAATTTTTAACCATTATTTACAAGGAAAATATGTGAAACACTTAATTATTTCGGGGCACCTGGGTGGCTCAGATGGTTAAGCGTCTGCCTTCGGGTCGGGTCATGATCCCAGGGTCCTGGGATTGAGCCCCGTGTCAGGCTCCCTGCTCATCAGGGAGCCTGTTTCCCCCTCTCCCTCTGCTGCTCCCCATGTTTGTGTGCTCACTCTCTGTCAAATAAATAAAATCTTAAAAAAAAAAAAGAAACACTTTTCAGATTTACAAAAACAACAACAACACAACAGGAAAAAAAAAAACAAACCCTCCATGAATCATGAATGACTGGTTTCTTTAAAAAAGATTGGGGCGCCTGGGTGGCTCAGTCGTTGGGCGTCTGCCTTCGGCTCAGGTCATGATCCCGGGGTCCTGGGATCGAACCCTGCATCGGGCTCCCTGCTCCGCGGGAAGCCTGCTTCTCCCTCTTCCTCTCCCCCTGCTTGTGTTCCCTCTCTCACTGTGTCTCTCTCTGTCAAATAAATGAATAAAATCTTTAAAAAAATAAAAATAAAAATAAAAAAAAATAAAAAAGATCTCACTTTGAGGGCACCTGGCTGGCTCAGTTGGTGAAACATCCGACTCTAGTTTTGAGTTCAAGTCCCACATTGGGTGTAGAGATTACTTAAAAAATAAATAAAAAATTTAAAACGCAAGTGATTAAAAAATAATAATAAAAATAAAAAAGATCTCTTTGTTCTAGAATCTATAGGCAAAAATTAGAATTATCTAAAAGAATCATAGGATATCTTCTAATTTGTTATTTCCCTTTAAGGAAAAAAACTAAAAGAAAAGAAATAAAGGTGTTTAACATCATGGTAAACATAGCAGGGTTTTAAAAAAATACTTTTATGGCAAGCCTGAAATGGTTGGGAGGCCTGGAACACTGCACAAAGAGCATCATCTTCTAGGACTTGATTTTTATACAGATCAAAGTCCTTCTGAAGGTGAGTTACTATGCCCGGCCAACTGAACAAGTTCCGGCTTTCGTCAGGGAGCATGAAAAGGCATGCCCTGCCGCAAACAAGGCAGACGATGCTCCAACGACTTGAGGGGTAGGAAGAAAGGCAGGAATACACCACCAAGTACTCATGATGGTTTCTCTTCTTAGCAATTACTGCACTGTGCACTGTACTGAAAACAACACTTTAAAAAAAAAAAACAA